GAGGTCAGCAAGTCGACAGAGTCAAGTGCAAACCAACACTATCCGAGTACAGATTGTAGAAGTAACAGATCAAAAGTATTTGAGCAGATAACGTCAGGACGAATACATCCAGGAAAACCGAATATTGATCATTCAACCAGAGGAAAACGCGTTTTTCGAAGAGGTCAGCAAGTGGACAGAGTTAAGTGCAAACCAACACTATCCGAGTACAGATTGTAGAAGTAACAGATCAAAAGTATTTGAGCAGATAACGTCAGGACGAATAGATCCAGGAAAACGGAACATTGATCATTCAATCAGAGGAAAACGCGTTTTTCGAAGAGGTCAGCAAGTCGACAGAGTCAAGTGCAAACCAACACTATCCGAGTAGAGATTGTAGAAGTAACAGATCAAAAGTATTTGAGCAGATAACGTCAGGACGAATAGATCCAGGAAAACCGATTATTGATCATTCAATCAGCGGAAAACGCGTTTTTCGAAGGGGTCAGCAAGTCGACAGAGTCAAGTGCAAACCAACACTATCCGAGTAGATTGTAGAAGTAACAGATCAAAAGTATTTGAGCAGGTAACGTCAGGACGAATAGATCCAGGAAAACCGAATATTGATCATTCAATCAGAGGAAAACGCGTTTTTCGAAGAGGTCAGCAAGTCGACAGAGTCAAGTGCAAACAAACACTATCCGAGTACAGATTGTAGAAGTAACAGATCAAAAGCATTTGAGCAGATAACGTCAGGAGGAATAGATCCAGGAAAACCGAATATTGATCATTCAACCAGAGGAAAACGCGTTTTTCGAAGAGGTCAGCAAGTCGACAGAGTCAAGTGCAAACCAACACTATCCGAGTACAGATTGTAGAAGTAACAGATCAAAAGTATTTGAGCAGATAACGTCAGGACGAATAGATCCAGGAAAACCGAACATTGATCATTCAATCAGAGGAAAACGCGTTTTTCGAAGAGGTCAGCAAGTCGACAGAGTCAAGTGCAAACCAACACTATCCGAGTACAGATTGTAGAAGTAACAGATCAAAAGTATTTGAGCAGATAACGTCAGGACGAATAGATCCAGGAAAACCGAATATTGATCATTCAACCAGAGGAAAACGCGTTTTTCGAAGAGGTCAGCAAGTCGACAGAGTCAAGTGCAAACCAACACTATCCGAGTACAGATTGTAGAAGTAACAGATCAAAAGTATTTGAGCAGATAACGTCAGGACGAATAGATCCAGGAAAACCGATTATTGATCATTCAATCAGCGGAAAACGCGTTTTTCGAAGAAGTCAGCAAGTCGACAGAGTTAAGTGCAAACCAACACTATCCGAGTACAGATTGTAGAAGTAACAGATCAAAAGTATTTGAGCAGATAACGTCAGGACGAATAGATCCAGGAAAACGGAACATTGATCATTCAATCAGAGGAAAACGCGTTTTTCGAAGAGGTCAGCAAGTCGACAGAGTCAAGTGCAAACCAACACTATCCGAGTAGAGATTGTAGAAGTAACAGATCAAAAGTATTTGAGCAGATAACGTCAGGACGAATAGATCCAGGAAAACCGATTATTGATCATTCAATCAGCGGAAAACGCGTTTTTCGAAGGGGTCAGCAAGTCGACAGAGTCAAGTGCAAACCAACACTATCCGAGTACAGATTGTAGAAGTAACAGATCAAAAGTATTTGAGCAGGTAACGTCAGGACGAATAGATCCAGGAAAACCGAATATTGATCATTCAATCAGAGGAAAACGCGTTTTTCGAAGAGGTCAGCAAGTCGACAGAGTCAAGTGCAAACCAACACTATCCGAGTACAGATTGTAGAAGTAACAGATCAAAAGCATTTGAGCAGATAACGTCAGGACGAATAGATCCAGGAAAACCGAATATTGATCATTCAACCAGAGGAAAACGCGTTTTTCGAAGAGGTCAGCAAGTCGACAGAGTCAAGTGCAAACCAACACTATCCGAGTACGGATTGTAGAAGTAACAGATCATAAGTATTTGAGCAGATAACGTCAGGACGAATAGATCCAGGAAAACCGAACATTGATCATTCAATCAGAGGAAAACGCGTTTTTCGAAGAGGTCAGCAAGTCGACAGAGTCAAGTGCAAACCAACACTATCCGAGTACAGATTGTAGAAGTAACAGATCAAAAGTATTTGAGCAGATAACGTCAGGACGAATAGATCCAGGAAAACCGAATATTAATCATTCAACCAGAGGAAAACGCGTTTTTCGAAGAGGTCAGCAAGTCGACAGAGTCAAGTGCAAACCAACACTATCCGAGTACAGATTGTAGAAGTAACAGATCAAAAGTATTTGAGCAGATAACGTCAGGACGAATAGATCCAGGAAAACCGATTATTGATCATTCAATCAGCGGAAAACGCGTTTTTCGAAGGGGTCAGCAAGTCGACAGAGTCAAGTGCAAACCAACACTATCCGAGTACAGATTGTAGAAGTAACAGATCAAAAGTATTTGAGCAGGTAACGTCAGGACGAATAGATCCAGGAAAACCGAATATTGATCATTCAATCAGAGGAAAACGCGTTTTTCGAAGAGGTCAGCAAGTCGACAGAGTCAAGTGCAAACCAACACTATCTGAGTACAGATTGTAGAAGTAACAGATCAAAAGTATTTGAGCAGATAACGTCAGGACGAATAGATCCAGGAAAACTGAATATTGATCATTCAACCAGAGGAAAACGCGTTTTTCGAAGAGGTCAGCAAGTCGACAGAGTCAAGTGCAAACAAACACTATCCGAGTACAGATTGTAGAAGTAACAGATCAAAAGTATTTGAGCAGATAACGTCAGGACGAATAGATCCAGGAAAACCGAACATTGATCATTCAATCAGAGGAAAACGCGTTTTTCGAAGAGGTCAGCAAGTCGACAGAGTCAAGTGCAAACCAACACTATCCGAGTACAGATTGTAGAAGTAACAGATCAAAAGTATTTGAGCAGATAACGTCAGGACGAATAGATCCAGGAAAACCGAATATTGATCATTCAATCAGAGGAAAACGCGTTTTTCGAAGAGGTCAGCAAGTCGACAGAGTCAAGTGCAAACCAACACTATCCGAGTACAGATTGTAGAAGTAACAGATCAAAAATATTTGAGCAGATAACGTCAGGACGAATAGATCCAGGAAAACCGATTATTGATCATTCAACCAGAGGAAAATTCATTTCCTTCAAAAACAATGGAAAACACGTGCACGGACGTGTTGTTGATAAGGCTGATAAAATTCGAAGTGTTCATTGAAACTGGCGCAATATCAAAATATTGGACAGTTCCACACAAGAAACACATTCCAAGGTTGATTTGTCAAAAGTCGAAAATTTCACTATTGGACATGCTGTAGCAAACGACGACTACAATGACGCTAAAGAGCTTGAACTATCAGCCTGGCGGAGTTTCAATGTGTTTACGAAAGATGAGATCGAGGGTACACACACCATGTCGTGTAGATGGATTCTCTGAAAAAATTCTGTTAAGCAAGCTCGTCTTGTTGCTAGAGTTTTGGAATCCGAAGAATTGTACATGTTCTTTGGAGCTCTAGGAGGTTAGAAAAGTTAGTGAACAATAGAATGGCTGCCAAAACGTCAGCATTTCTTGATTTTTCGGACTCAGCTGTGTTATCCATCAGAGTAAAAATATACCTATTCATTGTTACGCTGACACGAAAAGATCTCCATAAAGCACTTGTGTAAAATCGAGACGTTTCTGAGATGCGACTCAGAGCACAAACTCTTTCTATACGTGATTGGAAAGTCCATGAGAACGTGTCTGCTAACTAGGTCAAAACTGGGAATCAACTAGCTGATATATTCACAAAAAGTCGCGTTTGTCCTTTTACTATTTTAGATATGATCAAATCTGGTTAACTGAATGTCTTGCATTGCTTTACTGTTTTAAAGCATTTTACATTTTATTTCATTCTGTAAAAATGATTCGTTACATATATTTGCTTTAACGTAATGCTTTAATTTGAGGCGCTAAAAATGTATTCATTTAACTTGCTGCTTGTCCAGTGAATAGATTCGTTTTATGTAAAAAGGAGGGGGCAGATTGTTAATTTGTATTTTTGCTTTTCAGATATCGGTGGGTCAATTGTAATCTGCTTCCTAAAAAGTTTCAGAAGAGACCGATTAAAATATTCTCTTTGGAAATCTGAAAAGTAAAATCCACTTTCGAAACAAGAAATCAAAAAATGAATTTTTTGCTACCTTTAAACTTCCGCCTTTCAACAAAAGAAATGAAGCGCACTTGAAAAGAAATCAAATGCCAAGCCGTAAAACATCAAAATTGAGCGTGAAGTTTGAGCTCTATTCGAAATCGAAAAACTTTTCTTTCAAAAAATCAATGCATCGGCGGAAAACTAAAAACATATAGCCAACAACAACAGACAGTTTGAAAAGAGTCAATGAACGCAAGCAATTAGAAAAAAATACTGACTTGCTTTTGAAAAAAAATCTCAACCTTCGAATTTCCAAGAAAAAAATAGAAGATGCCATTTAAGCTCTTTGAATTTCTGGAACAATTTATGATTGGCAATTTTTTTGATAAAGATAATTCAATTTGAGAGAAATTGATCCAGAAGTGAAATTTTCATTTCGCTGGTAGTAAATCTGAAAATTAAAATTTCTCTCTCGACTAGAGTCGAAAATAGAAATCGTTTCAACAAGAAATCAATCACGTTTTTCGTGACCTTTACTTTTTTGCTGTTCGATAGTGGAGTTTGCCTTCCTTTCAACAAAGGAAATGAACTGAACTTAAACAGAAATCAAGTCAAACCGCGAGAAAAAGTAAATTTGAGCCTGAACAAATTTTAAGACTTTTCCTGAAAATAAAAAAATGGCGACCTATATAAGAGTCTGATTTACATTCATCGACTCTTAAGAATTGCGATATTTTTTGTTATCTTTCGCTTGCAATACGCGTCGTTGTACTGACGAGCTACCATGATTTTTTCATCACTATAATTGCAAAAATTACCGAACTAAACCATCCAGAATATGAAAGCAGTCCCGCTACGGAAGCCAGGGCACCAACTCTTGCTTGCGTTTTCCACGTGCTTTGTTTATCCTTGGGATTATCTTGCACAAGCGTGATTGGAATGAGCTTCCGTTGTATCTGAAACATAAACCAAGTTGAAGAAAAAACTGAAAACTTTAACTATCGACTTCCCCCTTGGCAAGGGGGGGGGGGGGGGGGATTTGTTACTGGGTACAAAATTCACATGTGCTCAACCATTGCATTATTTCTTTATAGGGTAGCAATTCGTTACTAGGTACCATAAGGGAGGAAATAATTAGAGAAATCCAAAAATCTATCATTAAAAAAAATAAAAATTAGCCACTTAAACCATAAAAGGTAACGTAGCCAACAGCATGAACAGTGTCAACGCCATATTAGAGAACAGACTATTTTCATATTGTTGTTGTTTGTAGCTGCAAATATGAGAACTCATATTTTCATTATCGTTAAAACTGTCCCCTATAATGCGTTTTCTCAGTCTTCCACCTCTTTGCGAAGCCTGGGAAAACCAAAGTTATTGTTTGAGGGACAAGACGCAACAATTAACCAATACATAATCCCTAAGTACCTGAAACAAACGAACTATGTTGGTCGTAGATGCCATTAATTAAGCGTTTAAGCGATTATAACTTGAGCTATAACACCAATTAGCAACAGAAAATTTTTGAATGTCGCCAACAGGCAGTTGAAAAATTTTCAATGAACTCATGAAGGCCAAAAAAACGATGGCTGCAGCTTTATGTTCAGTACAACAACAACAATATGTTCAGTATACTGAAAAAATCTGTTCACATTAGTATTTCTGTTCACCATGCCAAATTGCATTGCGTTTTGACATTATTAAAATCGTTTTTAAAGGTGAGTTTGAAATGTGGAATGAATTTAAAAAGAAAACAAAACCAAAGTGCGACACATCAAACTTGAGCGTAAATAATTTTCCTGAAGATTTTTTCCTTTGAAAGCATAAAAAATCTGCAAGACCAATATAAGTGTCGTACTGCCTTTATTGGCATTTAATAATTATTTTCTTAACATAAAAGTTTTATTTTCTCACAAACATATGAATTGACTTTTTTATACGCAGAGGCGAAGTTTTGCATCACTTGCGATACCACAAAAAGAGGATTGCAAACTAGCAGACGGGAAAAGAAAGAAGAGTCCAAAGCAATCGGAAAACTTTTCAAAAAAACCTATACTAAAAATTTCAGAATGTTACCTGGAATGATTTTCTAGTTGAAAACAACACGTCCAGAAACGCATTTGATGTACGTTTGAAAAAAATTAGGTCCTGGTCAGATTTGAACACAGGACCTTTGCTGTCCCAGGTGTATTCTTTACCTACAGACTAAAAGTGACAGAGACGCTTAGAATTTTGAATTCATTATGAACCAGCGGACAAAGTGATTCAAACGATTCTGTTAAACTAGTTGCTAACCCGAAAAAAGTATATTTTCCAGTTTGATAACAACTGATTATCGCAAGCGTAAAACAAGAGTGGGTTTTTATTTCAATTTGATAATAATTTCTCTTCTCCGAGTAACACAGAATGTTTAGACCAAAAAAATGGCAGTAAAAGCCATCAAAATCAGGAACAAAAAGAAACAAACAAAACCTGAAATATTTTTCAAAAAACTTTTGTTTTGTTTTCTACGGAGTATGAGGGGGTTCAATTTAAGCATTATGACCCGAAATGAGGTAAATATAACAAGAAAAACATTAATCACACTAACTCCTTCGTGTAAATTAATCTGATAAAAACGGGAAAATTTCTCGATACTCGATACTTTTTTATCGATACTGAGGCAACCTTTTAAACAAGATTTTAAATTAAAATCAGACCCATTAGTCTTTACACTGATACTGCAATTAAAAACCTACAAGCCTAATTAAAAAAAACATGTTTTATTGTCTTTTTACAGTTTGTTCAGCTCTAACTTTCTGCCCTCATACCGATGAACTAATAGATATCCGGCAAGAAAAAAGGGAGTCAGATAATCATCTCTTCTTTTTGCTACAAAATGTTTAAGATGATCCGGTGCAGCATTGCAGAGATCGAGCCGGCTCAATACGGGAAGGCGGCTGATACCCATATCACAGCGGTTTGACTCCCAGATGATGCTAGTTTTTGGCGATTAAAATTTCAAAATAAAAAACACTGTTTTTTGCTTTAAAACGTGTTTTTTTTTGCCTCGTTTAAAAAATTCACAATCCTGATTTTAAGTACATAAAATTGGACGAAAAAAAACAACCCTAGTCTTTAGTTTCTTCTAGTCTGTTTGTGACATGGTCGGAACAATAACGACCAGATCAAAAAAAAAACGGAGAGCGGAACCACACTTCTGATTTGCACTTAGCAGTTGAACCCTACTTAAGAATTTGCCTGAACTTATACATGAAGTTATTCGCTTACATTGAGATAGGTGAACACCACGAGTCCAGATATGCATGGCATCATCATGGTAGTATCGGCCAGTGTCAAATCAGGCGACCAAGAAAGACCTCCACTCTGGAATCCTGGAAGCGCAAGGCTGCAATTTCTCAGAGTTCGGCTCATTGTAACAAACACTACCATCTAAAACAACTTTTCTTTGAAAAAAGTCTCGATTTCTTCAGCCAGGGGCGGATCTAGGATTTTATCGAGGAGAAGGGGGCAGATTAGTCGACCTTTTTCAGGTCGAACAAACTCATTTTCCGAGCGCTTCGTGAACACTCTAAAAACCTTAATTTGACAAAAATTTACGGTTGTCCGCCCCACTCGAAATCCGCCCCTGACTTCAACATAACCTATTGACGAGGCTTTCGTGTATTTTGAGTCAAAGTATGCTGCATTGAATTTTAAGAGAACCTAGGAATAAGACAATTGATCCACGCGAGAAGGGGTCAACATACGAGGAGCTGTTCAGCTCTTTCTGGAAAACCGCTGTTTTTTTTCCGTGGTTAACAATTATAAGTACCTTCTCCGTTCTATTTTTCTCGACTGGGTAATTTTGCATCATGCATCAAGCAACGATCCTGAAACCTCCCAACTTTCTATTGAAAAGCGAGTAAATAGTCACTTTACCACTGCTTCCCCAAAATATATATTTTTTTGAATATGGAACAGCAAGTCCGCTTTTTTGAGCTGTGTTGAGCTCCTCTGGCTTAACTCACTTGTACAAAATAATGAGGAATGGCCCTCATCATGTCCTGATGCTGCTTCATGTCCAGGTAATTCATCTCCGCAAATAACCTCGCCGCTGAAAACAGACAAAATTGTTTGGTGGAAAATATGTATAATGATAATTCTATTCTAATGATGGAAACTCTGAGAAGGCGATATACCGTTATCTTTTAGGAAAAGACTTTGAACAGCTGTAGCATTGTCTTCTACCCCCACCCCAACAGATCAAAGCAATCAATACACAAGGTAACTATTGGTTTTACCATGTAGTATATCAAGCCAAAATAGTGTAATAGTTTTATTAACTTAAATGCCAAATTTAAAGACGACTGAACCACATGAGCAAAATTTTAAAAAATATTTTATTAAATTGCAGGTGGAGAAACGATAAAAACAGTAACATTGTGATTGTACTCTTTTCCTATGTTATTCTTTGCGAACCTGTCCAATTTACTCACAAATAAGGAAAGATTGTCCTGTAAAGTTTGTAGGTTGTATTGTTCAGCTATGGTTCTGCATTGTTCGGCCACTCACTGGTGGCCTAGCTGAAGCTGGAAGTACCTGCTGGAAGTCTACCGAATAAGCTGAAAACTGAATTTTCCCCCAAAGATTTTCAAAAAGCTTCCTAAAACGTATCTTTTTTAGCAGTCTATTGTTCGTAAATATTTTCAGTTATATGTTTTCTCGATACGAAACAATCAATAGAAGTCTTGACGCGAGAGGTGTTCGCGTCTTCAATATGAATTTCCTGAGAAGAAGGTTAATCTTCATCGATGACAACAACTCGAACATTGTCCAAAAATGTAAATGTGTTTTGGGCTCGTCGCTAGTGAATGGTATTTTCTTACCTAATTTGCTAAAAATGTCATGTCCAAGCGGAACAGTTTCGAAAAAGTGCTGTGAAACAATAGTGCAGCTAATTTTAGCATTTGATATTAAAAAACTTGTGATGATGGGTGGGACAAATAATTTATTTGAGAAAGAACAACCGATTAATGACGGAACCTGAAGTTGTCGAAGAGATGGAATATCTAATTTGCAGGTACATGAACTGTGGCTTAAAGGTGGCAATTATGGGATTGATTGGACGGAGATATCGACATGGTACCATAAGGCGGCTGAACAAGTGCTATAGAGCATACGGAACCCGTCTGGCAGAAGCATACGGAATACCGTTCGTGAAAACCACGAAGTTTAGATTCCGACGAGACATATCAGTCGACAGCCTGCATCTCAAACCAGAGAGCATACGGCAGCTTGCGCGAGATTTCGGAACGGCATTCGGAAAATTGTAGACTTGGAAAGTTTTTTTCGTTTTTAAAAATTACAAAAAATTAACGGGAAGAAGCTTTGTAATAACAATAATTGAAGGCCGCTTAGGCTCTTTTCTCGAAACGAATAAAATTGATGTGAATTTTAGCACAGAAGGTAGCTTGAGATCTCTTGGCTACGCAGATTTCGAAATATTTTTCGGTGGCCACTTTAGGCACTGAAAAAAAACCAGAAAAGAAAGGAAAACGGAAGCAGCAGGTAATGAATACGAACTATACGCAGGCCGCTTCAGGCTGCAACGAGAGTCTCTGGAAAATAACGAGTATTTTAACAACTAGAGGCGAAAAGAATTATAACGCCACACATGGACACCTTCGAATCCAAAAGAGGGTAAAAACCACTGTCTAACTGACTGACTGTTTGATAACTTAGGTGGTATTCAAGTTTCGTGCCATCAGCTAAATAAAATCAGCTTTAATAAAATAACCAGGATCTATTTCTCGATTGACACGTGAGAGGTTCGAGTCCTCAAAATTCCTATCTTGTTATTTCAGCGATGCAAGCTTAACCAGTGCAAAAAAAGAACTCGAAAAAATAACATCTGGGTTTTAAAGAAAAAAAACGCTTTTCGTTCCAGTTGAGTAAAATATATGCTGATTCGACAGAAACCCTTCTGCACAAAATTCTTAAATCGTAAAATACTCATTTCTGATTTAACTCCTGACGATCAATTCAAACCAGTAAAATGTATAATGAGGATTATACACTATGCATTACACTTCGATGCAGCACTTAGTGAGATTAGAAAAAGAGAGAAAAATGATCAAAAAAGATGTCGCGCATCGCAATACAGCAAAAAACCGGCAAAAAAAACCGCAAAAAAATTCCAGCAGCAAATTCAGTCTGAATTCCACAGACGATTCATAAATGGCTGAGATGCATTAAATTGGACAGAAGGCGAGCAAGAACACCATTTGTAAATCGCACGAAAGTGTGAAAAATCCTAGCTCTGTTTTTATTTATTTACTTTTTCAAATCAAACAAAATAAAGAAAACTGCAAAAAGTTTATAGTTTAAAAGAGCCAGGAAAAAACTATAGAGAAAAAGACCTGACTCCTACCGATATAATTAAATTAAATTGATATAATTATCCAGCGAACTCCAAATCTTGGAATTAGTTTTTAACATTTTCAAAAAGAAAGCCGAGAAAAATCTTTAACAATCGAACTAAAAAAAAAATTATGAAGCCGATAACCAACACAGATTTTCATTTCGAAAAAACTAAGAATTTAGGAAAAATATAGCCAACAGACAACCAACAAAGAGTCAATGAACGCTAGGAAACAAAAAAAATCTTATTTTTTTTGAAAAAACGCTGGCTTTAAAATTCCAAAGCAAAAATATATGGCCTAAGAGCTCTTCTAATTTTCACGACATTTTTTTGTTTTAATGGTTTTTTATTTTATTTTCAGGAACAATTTATTATTCATATTTTTTTGATAAAAACTAAATTAAGTTCAGAAAACTGAATGGATAGATAACTTTTTTGTTCTACTGGGAAATCTGAAAATTAAACTTTAACTAGAAGTCGATCACATTTTCCCAAATACTTACCATTTGCTGTACGATAGTGAAGTTTGCCTTCCTTTAAAAAAAATGAAGGGAAAGAAATGAAAAGTCAAACCGCGAAAACCCAAAACTGAACGTTAACAAAGAATAAAACTTTTTACGGAAAAACACAAAAAGAATAAGACTTTTTACGTAAAAACACAAAAAACACAAAAAGTCCTATATGCGAATATTCAACACGGTCATGACTTTTAAGGAAATAATGGTAGAATTTAAATTGAACAAAAACAGTCAGAAAATTTTTGAAATACACATCAATGAAAGTTTTCAAACAGAAGCTAAGCGGAGCTTCGCCCCACTTGCGCTAAAATACGCAAATTTAAAAAACTTCAGCCAAAAACAAAAAAAATGTAGGAAAAAAAATGGGGTGAAAAAAAATTTCGTATGTCCCAATATAAAACTAGGTTACAAGTACAAAAACTGAAGTACAAATTTGAAAGTTATTGAATTTGTTCAACTGATGCGGGATGAAATTGGCTATTTCAAAATTTCAAAAATTGGAATTTGCCCAAAACCTTATTCGTTTTTAATTTAAAAATTACTTTGAAAAGATCCCAAAGACATTTCTCTTCCAAAAATAACGAGTCGCCCCTCTGCGGGAAAAATACTCTCGCAATCGGTTATTTCCATTGAACTTTTCAACTCAGACTTGATAGGGTAGTTTTTACACAGAGGCGAAGCGGAGCGCGTCGCACCACTTGCGATACAACACAAACATAAGAGAAACATTGAAAGAAGAAAAAAACGAAAGTTGTTGAAACAATCTAGGTGAAATATTAGAAAAAATCAGGCATCCTGTAATTCTGATTGAATCCAGAAACTCAGATTTGAGAGAATACTTTTTGAGAAAAACAGTAAAAGCTTAAAAAACGGCGAAAAACAACAAAAGATGATATTTCCGAGAACCACAGCCTTTTGTGTAAAACATTTGGGCGTAGCCGCTTATGCAGAAGAAATTTACTCAACGTGTAATTTCGATTGAACCCAAAAACTCAAATTTGGGTGGATCCCTCTCAAAAAACTTCTAAAAAATATCAAAAATCAAAACTTTGACTTTTTCAAGGGCCATTAATTTGTGTAAAAAAATTGGGCAAAATAGCGTTTGCAAAGTAGCTTCCCACAACCCGTTCTTTGGATTGAAAGCAAAAATTAAGATATGGGAGGATAATTTTTGAGAAAAATAGTAATGGTCAGAGATGACAACAGTACAAAAAAAATCAAAAATTCGACTTTTCCGAGGGCGACATTTTTAGTGCCAAAAAAATTGAGTGGTCGCTTTTTGATAGTTTTGAGATTAAAACGGTCAAAAAAATCAAAAAATTGATATTTCTGATACTTTTTGTGCAAGAAAATTTGAGTGGTCGCTAATACAGGGGAGCTTCCCACTGCCCGCTATCTCTATTGATCCCACAAACCAGATTGAGGAGGGTAGTTTTCGAGAAAACGAAAAAAAGAGGAAAATATGGGTCAAACATTCACCCACAGATTTCTCGAAGGCTGTAAACAGAGGGTAAAGTAAAAGGAGACTAGGTGAGTATGCAGGCACACAGGGGAGTGGAAGGTCTTTCCAATGACACCATTTTTGAAAATCGTTTGAATAGTTTTTGAAAAAAAAATAAATTTTCCACAAGAAAGAGAAAAAGCCACCAATGCAGAGGAGCTTCTCAGAACCAGTTAGTTCGATTGAACCCAATATCTCAGATTTGGGGAAGTGCGGTTCTCGACAAAAGTATAAAAAACTCTAACTTTTTTCCGCAAAAAAAAATTATGAGGGAAAAAACATAGCCAACTGACAGTTAAAGAGAATCAATGAACGCAAAGAAACCGAAAAGAACTATATCTTTTCCGAGGGCGACATTTTTAGTGCCAAAAAAATTGAGTGATCGTTTTTTGACAGTTTTGAGATTAAAACGGTCAAAAAAACCAAAAATTTGATATTTCTGATATTTTTTGTGCAAGAAAATTTGAGTGGTCGCTAATACAGGGGAGCTTCCCACTGCCCGCTCTCTATTGATCCCACAAACCAGATTGATGAGCGTAGTTTTCGAGAAAACGAAAAAAAAAGAGGAAAATATGGGTCAAACATTCACACACAGATTTCTCGAAGGCTGTAAACAGAGGGTAAAGTAAAAGGAGGATAGGTGAGTATGCAGGCACACAGGGGAGTGGAAGGTC